AATGTATATATTTTTAAGTTGAGTTCTGTTTTCCCTAATAGGTTTACAATATGAGTGTGTGTGTGTGTGTGTGTGTGTGAGCGCATGTGTGGGTTACATGTGTATAGAGGTTACTCAACTTTAGTTTTCCCCAGCTTCCTCTTTCTTCTTAGATTTGGACAAATAACAAACAATACCTGATGAGTGATGAAACCAGCTCTTGTCTCTCACTCAGAATCCTTCCCATATCACAATTATGCGTACCAATTATTATAGCGTATTGTCTCTCAGCTCCAAATGCAGGCTCATTTCCCCTTTTCTGTAAGATAACCGTATGTGTGTGTCTGTGTGTTCCCTGCTTGTTTGTGAAGCTTCACCCCTAAAAGTAGATGCTGCTTTCTGCATTTACTAGTTCTGAATGACTTAGAGCCTTGTTTTACCCTGTTTCATTATTAAAGCACCTTGTTCTAATTAATAATTCATTTTGTTAGATTTTCCCTGTTCATACTACTGTTACAGATCCTTTCCTCTGACTGGACTCTGATGACAATGTGCCCCTTTGTTGGTCTTGCAATTCACCAGACTTCCTCCAAGCCAACTATTGGTATGACTGAGTAAACAAGGTAAATAAAGGTGGAAATAATGTAGAAAATCTGACATGACCAAAAGAATTCTATAGGACCATGTTAGGCTAGGCAATTCAAGGAAAATGAATCGTTAGGAAAAAGGTCTAGGGCCTTCAAATGTCTCAAGAGCCTACCAAGATGTTAAATATGCACTTCATTTTAGGGAATATCTCTACATACAAGTGCACATGCACATTACACACACACACACACACACACACCACAAAATAGAAAAGGAAAACTAAAAAAATCAAAGTAATTTTTTTATTTAAATGTTTCCAACTACAACTCTACTCTAACTCAATTTAACCTATATCATTTGGATTGTGAGTGCATTTTAATGTTTAATATAATGTGTAGTAGGGTCCTCCCAAATATGAAGCAGATCCGGAACCTGCTAAAATGTTTTAAAGTTCTTGAGCTAGATTCACTAAAGAGGGCAAAATTTTTAATTCAATTCAGATGAAAGAGTTTAAATTTGTTCTGTTGCTAATGACTGCATACCTAACAACAGCTACCAGCTTTTTACTTTTATTTTTTGTGCATCAGCTTGTTAATATGTACCCTATTTTTAAGAATGACAGCAGCGAAGAGAACCACAGACCCATAAACGCTGGGAGCATGATTGCCTGATAATGACTGCTTCACCCACACGTGGTCCTGTCCCAGTTCTGGGGCAAGCTGTCCTTAACCTTTGAGTCTTCAACTTCACATGTCAGCATTCCCTGAGCTGCATTTCACCTTGACATCAGTGGATTCCTTATGTTGAACTGTTAAGCTTTCATTCTTGCCGGAGAATTATAATGCTTTTCCCATTTTCTCCTTACTTGATTTTTTTCCCCAGAATTTAGGATTTGTAAAAACATATAAATTTCCCAACAAATGCCTGCAAGGGATTTCTACATGGAAACACTTACTAAATGATCCTAAATGATCACAGTTTATTTTCCTTTTTTCTAAACTTCAGCTTTACTAAGATATAATTGACAAATAAAATTATAAGCTATTTAAAGTGTACACAGTAGTGATTGATATACATATACATTGTTAAAGTATTCCCCCATCTCGTTAATTAACACATCCATCAACTTATATTTATCTTTTTGTGTGTGTGAAAACATTTAAGCTCTACTCTCTTAGCAAATTTCAATTATACAATAGTGTTATTAACTATAGTCACCATGTTTTACATTAGATCCTCAGACCTTAGTCATCTTGTAGCTGAAAATTTATACTCTTTTACCAACCTCTCCCTACTAGCCCACCCCCAACCCCTGGCAACTACTTATCTACTCTCTGTTTCTGAGTTTGAATTTAAAAAAATTGATTCCATGTGTAAGTGATATCATACAGTTTTTGTCTTTCTCTGTTTGGCATATTTCACTTAATACCCTCAATGTCCATCCATGTTACCACAAATCCAGATTTTGTTTTTTTTTTCCCATGGCCAAAAAATATTCACACATATATAACATATGAATTTTAGATGAACTACATATATGTATAATATATATAATGTTTTCATATCTTGGCTCTTATGAATAATGCTGCAATGAACATGGGAGTGCAGAAATCTCTTTGAAATCTTGTTTTCATTTCCTTTGAATATATACCCAGAAAGGGAATTAAAGAATCATATAATAGTTCCATTTTGGGGGCGCCTGGGTGGCTCAGTCGGTTAAGCGTCTGCCTTCTGCTCAGGTCATGATCCCAGGGTCCTGGGACTGAGCCCTACATTGGGCTCCCTGCTCCGCGGGAAGCCTGCTTCTCCCTCTGCCTGCCGCTCCCCCTGCTTGTGCGCTCTCTTTCTCACCCTCTCTCTCAAATAAATAAATAAAATCTCAAAAAATGGGTTCCCTTTTTAAATTTTGAGAAAGCTCCTTACAGTTTTCCATAGTGGCTGCACCAATTTATATTTTCGCCAACAGTGCACAAGTGTTCCTTTTTCTCCACATCATAAACAACACTTAATCTCTTGTCTTTTTAATGACAACCATACTAACAGGTGTGAGGTGATACCTCATGGTGGGAAAGACTTGCATTTTCCTGATGATCAGTAATGTTGGGTACTTGTCATGTATCTGTTGGCCATCTGTCTATCTTCTTTGTAAACATGTCTGTTCAGTCTGTCTTCCTTTTTTAAATAGGATTGTTTGGGGGATTTTTTTGCTATTGAGTTGTGTCAGTTATTTATTTTGGTTATTAACACCTTATCAGATATAGGATTTACAAATATTTTCCCACATTGTGTAGGTCGCCTTTCCATTTTGGTGACGGTTTCTTTTTCTGTGAAAAAAGCTTTTCAGTTTAGTGTAGTCCCACTTTTTTATTTTTGCCTTTGATCTCAAATCCAAAAAACCATTACTAAGACTGATGTCAAATGGCTCTCTCCCATGTTTTCTTCTAGTGGTCTTATGGTTTCAGTTGTTCTGTTCAAGACTTTAATCCGTTTTGAGTTGAAGCTACCTGCTTTCTAAATGTGTGTTAGTAATCCAACCGTATGGTGAGAACAAAGAAGAGAATTAGTCTAATCCATTGTCACCACTGGAAAAAAGTCACCTTACACATTTTGCCAAAATATATATGAGTGAGCTTGTCCAAAACCTCCGGAAAACAAATATTTCGTATGTATAAAAGAAGTATATATTTTTCTATTATTGATTTTTTAGGTAGAATAATTCCTTTTGCAAAAAAAATTAAAAATAAAAACCCAAAACATTAAAAGTGAGCACTAATATTAACAACACAAGATACACAACATTGAAAACTATGATATTTGGGGTCCTATATTATTTGCTTTTCTGTTTTGACAGGTAATAAGGCACCAAATATAACCATAAAAGAACTATGAATACACTATTTTGCTAGTTTTTCAGTGTCAGATGAAATTCTAACTCTCCTCGTTTCCATATAGAGGTTAGGTGCTCATTCTCACTGTCTCTCTCTAATATTTGGGAGCATCTACGGAGACCAACTGCACAGACACATTGTCTTTATAGCCAACCAATAATGTTTGGAACGCATATTCTTGCTAAATATGTTTCCGTCACCTTTCAAGTTCCTGTACATTTAAAACTGACCTATGGAAAGAGGCAGATTAATATTTCAGGTCACAACAGAAGACTGCAGGGAGGAGGGCAGATTTTGTTGAAAGTAAGGTTTTTTTCTGTTGCTGTGGAATTGTGGCGAAAGCCTAGAGTTAAGGGGGGGAAGAAACCACTTAAGTCTTCACATTAGAATTTGAAAGAACTTCAAAGACCTGCCAGTGTTTGGTATCAACCATGTCCCCAAAGTTGGGGGTCATTATCCTTGTGCCACCTTACAGTTTCAGCCATCCAAGTCAATTTAAGAAAAGGACCATGAAGTCAGAGAAGAGACTCTGGTGGAAGACAAAACAAATGTTTTCAATGATAGAAATGGCATATCCGCTTTCTGAAGGAAAGGGAGAGAAGTCCCAATGAACTGGCTAATGTTTATTGATGTCCGCATTAAAGGAAAACTTAGTTTTTGTGTATTCATCCCACTGAAAAGCCACCAAACTTGGTGTCCTTCCCCTCGGGTTGTCAGAGAAAGGGAAGAAGTTGGGGAAAAGCGACATGATGGAGGATGACCAAGCAAAGAAAGAATAAGGGCATTTCCTCTAATTCTCACTTCCTGGGCCATAAGGAAGGTGGATGAAAAGTACTTCAACAAAAATTTCTATTACTGAGCACCATAGTTAGCAGTAGAAATGGAAGACCGAATACTAAAATTCTGATGCTTAATCACTAATTATCTATGATGTTTTAGCCTGCCAGTTTCTAACCCAACAGACCAATTTCCCTCTTTTTACCCATCTCATTTTAGAGAAAAATAAATACCAATTTCACTGAATCCAAGAATGTCAAGATTCTAGTTTTCTTTAGATTGATTTATATATGCCTACTATGTACGTAGCTTATAGGTATTGTACGTGGTTAGATAATTTGAGACGGAATCCACCTCGCTGCCAATGGAAGGTTTGCATTTATAACACTGACCATGAGCACATTCTGTAAGAAGTGGTTGTCTACAAAACCATACGGGTTTTACTTATCAAAGGCCAACCAGGTCCTTGAATCCTAGAAAATGGTTCTCAGTAACATAATTATTTGTATTTAACTAATTGTTTACCACACTGTAGCTAGGTAGGCAAGCTCTGAAAAGAATATAAAATGTAAAGGGTTAATATAAACACTCGAGGAATAGCATACCATTGATAGAAACAAGTATCCTTAACTCTCCAAGTATTTGGCTCAACTAGGCATGAGATAGACACATAATTCTATAACACTAAAAATGCTTGTTTATTCTAACCTCCCCCCATATAATGGGAACATAATATGAAGTAAAAATACTATTTAATGAAAAACTCACCATATCTGTATCTGAGACAGGGCCAAAACTGGTCACGTAGATGTTAGTGAAGACTTCAGTAATACTGTCTGATATGAGAAAAAGAGATTAAATATAGATAATATATAATGAGAGCCACTGAAAGAGAAAGGGTCAAGTACATGGAATGATTAGAAAGCTGTGTGATATTTAGGAATATTGCTTTTTACTTTCTTTTCAAACCTTCACAAACAACAAAAATTTCTCTATTGCTCAATTATTTCATAGGTTCTCACAATCCCAAATGCTAAATGCTTAGAAGTATTATGGCATTCTTACTTGGAAACTATGCCTGATTTAGAGCATTCTGTTTTAAACATATTTCTGAGAATTAATAGTTTCTTAGAATTTCTCTTAACTGAACTAGTTCACAATAAATTTACTACCAGTACTAAAAATATAGTGTGGTTATGGTTGCTGTTTGATATAGTCCTAAATTTGGTTTTTAAACTAAGTATTTCAGATGGTACTTCATGATGGTAGAGGTTTAGTTTGTAGATTGGAAGTTAGTATATCTTCTCAGTAAAGCACAGAAATGAATTGTTTATTAAAAACAAATATAATTCAAGGTAATGTAAAAAGCTTCATTATTCAGTGACATAAAAATAAAAGCAATTAACAGACATTAATCACAATGGATTACTTCCAAACAAACTTGCCTTTAAAGGTATTTACAAATGTATGAAATGTTAAGATTGACTTGAATTAGATTCAAATGTTATGTAACTTATTAACTGTAACACAGTTACCTGGACAGCTCTTTTAACCAGGTGATTTAGATCTTTGATTTTAAATAAGCCAAATGGTGATGGGGGAAAGGATCAAAGAAAAGGACTGAAAAGAAAAATTCTTCCAATGTAACTGATAGAAAAAAGTAATACATCATTAATTTCTATCATCATGAACTGAATGCCTCATCTACTGTCAAATTTGTAATTCCACAGAAACAAGATCACAAAATATTTTTAGTATTATACTGGACACTAATTCACAACCATAAAAGAGAGAGTAAACTAAGTCTGGGTATATTGTATCCACTAAGACCCAAATAAAAAGCCAAAAGGATTTTGAAACAATGGAGCAGAATTTGAATGCTTAGGCTTCAAATGTCTTGAAATATAATAATCTGCATGATGATCCTGTGAGGTAGGTTCTCTGTTAGGTGTCATCTCAGTCTGTACACATACACTTATGTACATACAGAAAGGTAAGGAAATGTGCCTAACAACCCACACTTGGTAGAGCAAATAGAGCCAGGTTTTAGAACCCAAGCAATCTGGCTCCTAAGCCCTAACGGTAAACCAAAGCTACAAGTGTTTTCTCATTAACTACATATTTCTATTCACCATAATACTCTGCACCAAAAACATGTAGTGTTCCAAATAAATATATTTACTCAGCTTTATTATTTCCTATTCTACTTTATTCCAAAAACTGTTCTCGTGAAATTTTACCACAAAACTCATTTGGGACATAAATATGTTTATAGAGTTAATTCTCAGCTGCCAGCTTCCCCAAAGACCTGTACAAGGTCAGCTTCACAGGCATGTAGCTTGTGCCGTCTCCTAGAGCCCTGTGCTCAGAAAAGCCCCACGCTCGCTTTAGTGTTCTGTTTTTCTCTCTTAAAAGTCTTAATTACCTTTTGAATGAAGGGCCCTGCATTTTCATCTTGGACAAGGCCTCACAAATTATGTAGCTGGTCCTAGATGTGAATTATATATGCTATTAGAAGGAAATTATGAAAATGGGACCCAGGTTTGTTCGCTTTTTCCTCTTATTCATACCAAATCAATACTGTCACACTTATTCAATAAACAATTGAATAAAACTTTAGTCATTCTACTGATTTAAAATGTTCCAGGGAAGAAAAATGTAAATGCTGAGGTAGTCTTCACCCAAATGGAGGCAAATGAAATCATTCTCCTTAGTGTGGAGTAGCAAAACTAGAGAAGAGAGATGACATGTGTGTGAATATATTCATGCTAAGGATATGAAGAATATCCATTCTATGCCAAATGGCAAGTAAAGGGTACGGAAGGTTGTTATCAGTACCTTGTGGCTGCAGGGAAATGGCAGCTAAGAATCCAAAGAGAAAAATAAGATTACCCTCAAAGCTCTAAGCAGTAAGAGCAACACCTAAAGACACAGAACACAGACACGCAAAATTACCTTAAATAAATGATTTCATGGTTTATCAACTTCATAAGCACAGTGAAAGAATGTATGTATTGCAAGGAATATTCTCCAGCTATGCAAGTTCAAAAAAAAAAAAAAAAAAAAAAAAGGAAAATCAGCAAGGCAAACACTGACCATGAATACCCAATAGCTAGGAGACTGAGAAAGTGATTCTTGGTTGTTGCAACAGAGCTGTCAACAATCAACATGAATTAGTAAAATATTTTAGGGTGATGACTACAAATGTTTGATACATCTAACACAGTTTTCTAAGGTTCTATATTCAAAATGCTATCTTTGATTATGATTTGGCTTTCCATAAGAGAAGAGAGGGGAAAAGAAGGAAAGAGGCGGGGAGGAGAGAAGAAATAAGATCTTAAGCACATCAGTGATTTAGGTTTTCAATTAGCAATAATCGCGCCTCGGATAAACCTCATTGGCTACGATACTGCCACTGCGCAAAGCTACATCAGTGATTTAGGGATCTTGTGACACTAATTTGTCAAAGTCCATAGTGTCTTCTGGTTAATTGTTGTTTTCCCATATGGATTTAGAACAGCATTAAGTTGTGTAGCTAATTAATACCTGTTATAATATTCAGATCCGTGTGACAGATGTCTGTCACAGAGTAAACACATGAGTTGATACCCTGGCAGCAAGCTCCGTCTCTTCACTTTAAGTACCGTGAGTTACCTTGTCAAGTCCTGATCCCATTGAGTGGACTCACTTTGCACTGTCCTGAGACTCAGGGCCTTCACCTTGGCGACTGCCTCTTTCTCTTCCCTTCTTAGTTGATTGCTTACCTGCCTTTAAGTCTCTATTTAAATGTCCTCTCCAGAGCAGAGGTTCCCTATGCCCCCTGTATAATGTAAGTCTGTTTCCCTCCTTTTCTCCCTGACACTTCCTTTTCCTAGGACATCTTAGAATTTGCCATTATTTTCATGCTTTAATGTTTTTTACTCACTTTTTGGTGTTGGTTTTGTTTGATCTCCCCAATCAGGATTCAGATTCATGAAAACAATGACTATGTCCTTTCTGTGCACTGTCCTATCACCAGTGCTTAGCGCAATGTCTGCCACATATTGGGTGTCTTACGTTTGAATTAACAAATAATTTCTAATTACAGTTCATGTAGAATATACACCTTTTCCCAAAATATTTCACCAACACTACAAATGGCCATGAACAGCGAAATGGGTACTGTCAAACTGTAGTGCCCAAACTATCCATTGATAGAAGGAGGTTGAAAGCCTAGGGAACTGGATCCCAGTGAAGAAACTTCACATCGAGCAAAAGGAAAAAAATGTATTTAGGGAAAGCACTATTTCAGTGGAAACCAAAATTTAACTTTTGAACAAACAGTAAATGGCTTTTAACAGAAACGTATACCATGAGTTACCTCAAAATAATTGCTAATAAGCTTAATTCTTGGCTTTAGAAATCCCAACAGCAAAATATGCAAAAGACGATCTTCTATATAGATTTTGCCAAAGGCAAAACACCATAAGGTTAATAATTAAGTACTTGAGGAGAAATAAAGACTGCATGTAGTAAGAGGTGTGATCCTGGGACACCTGGGTGGCTCAGTAGGTTAAGCATCTGCCTTCAGCTCAGGTCCTGATCCCAGGGTCCTGGGATCGAGCCCCACATCGGGCTCCCTGCTCGGCCGAAAGCCTGCTTCTCCCTCTCCCACTCCCCCTGCTTGTGTTCCCTCTCTTGCTGTGTCTCTCTCTGTCAAATAAATAAATAAAATCTTAAAAAAAAAAAAAAGGTGTGATCCTTAGGAACAATCATCAAATTCAGGATTTAAAAGGCAGTTATCACTGGGGAGAGAGAATGGGGAATAACCTGCTTAGGGTTACAGAGGGGGTTTCATGGTTTCTAATGTATTCTATTATTTTCCTTCTTTTAAAATTGATCTTAATTTTGGCAAATTCTAAGAGTTGATGAAGCTGGTCATGAAATAAATCATACAACTCTCTGTACTCTTTTGAACGTTTGAAACACTTCATAGAAAAAAAATAATAAATGGCCCTGAAGGATATCCAAAATGAACATATAAATAATTTCAAGAAGGGCTGAAATTAATTGATAAAAATTGTTCTTCATTGGATAATGCAGCATACAATAAAATTCTATTGTTATTTAAATTTTACTAAACATACAGTGCAATAGTGGTTTCAGGGGTAGAATTCAGTGATTCATCACTTAAATACAACACCCCGTGCACAATCACAAGTGTTCTCTTTAATACCTATCACCCATCTAGCTCATTCCCCCACTCACCTCCCTCCCTCAACCCTCAGTTTGTTTTCTATCATTAAGAGTGTCTTATGGTCTGTTTCCCTCTCGCCTTTTTTTCCCCCTTCCCATATGTTCCTCTGCTTTGTTTCTTAAATTCCACAATGAGTGAAATCATGTTATTTGCCTTTCTTTGACTTATTTTTTAAGCATAATATATTCTAGCTCCATCCACATCATTGCAAATGGCAAGATTTCATTCTCTTTGAGGATCAAGTAATATTACATCGTGTATATATACCAAACTCACTTTCAAAAATCCTTTGCAAAGAGTTTAGTTTGGTTCATGAATACAGTTAACATATGTAGGAAGGTTGGGGTATCAGGTTGTAAAGAAAGAGAAGATATATCAAAAGAGACCTGATGTGCCACAATGCTGAGGATATTATCTCTCTCTATATGGCAGCAGGGCATTCACTGAAGGACTCTGGGAGAATCTTACCTGCAAGGACACTGTACTATAAATGTTATGTTACATTTGTAACAGTGCGCAAACTGAATGAGAGGAGACTGAAGACAATGTATCCAGTTTGGAACATGTTACAATGGTTAAAGCAAAAGAAAAAATGATACT